GAAGATTATTTAAGATACACAAAATATTGTTTGAATTTCTCAAGGTCACTTTCTAACATGGGAGATCAAAATGAAAAATGAATGTATAAATGCCATGTACAAAAACCACAAATAACTCAAGATAGGATGTTTGAAGTGTCCTCAGCATGGGGACCAGTGCAGTTACACTTCTTTAATGAGAAAGACCACTTTTAGATGGAAGGGAATTCCAGTGAGGCAGAATTTATTTATTTATTTATTTATTTATTTAGGTGGGACTGGGGTTTGAACACTGGGCTTCACTGCCTCCAGTCCATTTTGCTCTGGTCATTTTGGAGATGGGGTTTTGCAAACTACTTGCATGGGCAGGCCTTGAACCGCAGTCCTCCCCATCTCAGCCTCCCAACTAAGCTAGGATTATAGGCATGAGCCATCAGAGCCTGGCCAGATTCAGAAAAATTTAAAAAGCAGAAATTGTGTGAAGCCATTCTGAACAAAAGCAAAATTCAGAAGTGTTTAGCACAAGGTAGTTTGGGCTAGAGCCTGGGGTAGAAGATGGAACGTGTGCTTTGAGGTGAGGCCAGGTTATACAGGGTGCTGAAAGCCAGGTGAAGAGATTTGTTTAATAGAAATTAGCAAGCATTGAAGGTTGTTCAAGAGGGAGTAGAATAATTACACACAAAAAGAGGAACCCTGTTGGAAGTCTGTTATGCTCGTCCAGGTTAGTAATAGTGAGGGCTTACACTGGAAATGAAAGAAGGGATAAGCTTGAGAAACATTAAAGGAGCATGTAGAATTTAGAAATTATGTGAAAGCAAGAGAAGTAGTAGGCAACAAAAGTGGCTGCCATATATGACTCTTTATTATTAGAACAGTGGTAATACTAACTTAAAAGGGAAATTAGAAGAAGAAAGGAGTTTTGTGGAACAAGATGGCTCGGGCTGTTTTGAATGGTTGGTTTGATTTTTAGAGGGGCATGTCTGTGAGGTAGATATGTAAAGGCAGTATGGATTTGAAAATACAGTCATTCAGCAAACACAGATTGAGTGTGTCCTATGTTCAATAACTGCCATAAGCATTATCAGTTCAAAATTGAGTAAGACACAGTATCTGTCCTTCTGGAACTCTTTATTTGGACTAGGGAAATAAATAGGTATTAGGTGAATAATTACAATGCAATTAAGCAGTGGATCAACAGAGAATGAACAAAGTGCTGTGAGATCACAAAGGACAAAGCTGTTCCCGTTACATGAATGAGAGTGCCGAGATCATTGAATGAAGATTTAAATGATCAGTAGAAGCTTACCAATGGGAAGTTGTTCCAAGCATGATATGGGTGTTTCATAGAAGTGAAGATTTAATATAGAGGGCAAAGAGGAAGAGCTTGTACCAAGAACAAGCTCTATCTATTTGCAAAGTGGGAAGAGGATGAGAAGCCAGTGAGAGTGAACACAGAATCTGATCTCAGAAATTAAAATAGGAGATATACACAAGAAATATAAACAGTATATTCATGAACTTTAGTTTTAAGAAATAATGATAAGGAACTAAAAGAAAATGGTCTTGTGGAGGTGGCTGAGTCATTGAATTTAGCAAGAATTGTTAGTGATGGTTGAATAAAATTTTTCAAAGGAGTAGTAAAGGCAGAAAAGTGGTCCTTGAAAGAGCTAAGTATGTGAGAGAAAATAAATGATGACACTTCTCATAAAGTCCTGAAATTCTGCCTCTCCTCTGGTCCCACCCGAAATTCTCTGACTACTGTGTTTCCTTCATCTTTTACCCTAAATGTTCCTACTGCAGACAGCCCATCCTTTCCAACCACCTCAAACTAAAGTCAGCTCCCCGTGCTGTAACACACCCCATTCTTTTGCTCCATTAGAGCTGCCACAATCTGTAATATATTGCTCATATAGTTAGTGTCTGTTTTTCTCACCAGGCTCAGGTGCATGAGGATAATACATGAGAACTAGTTTCCACTTTCTATTGCTCATGACAGTGTCAGTGTTGGTACTTAGTAGTCTGTTTTTGTTTGAGACAGGGTCTCACCATGTTGCCAAGCTGGCCCAGAATCCCAAGCTTCCTGCCTCAGCCGCCCCAGAGCTGGGATTAAGCATGTGTCATCATGCCTGCCCTAAGTAGTCTTAATAAGTGCTGAATGATGCGAGGGGAGAGAGAGAAGGTACAGTGTTGCAGAGTCAATCTTAGAATTGAATAAGACATGTCAAAATCTACCATGTCACACAGTGTTTGGATTATTGGAGTAAAGTAGAGATAGGAAGGTGAAAAATTAGATTAAACGTTTTAGAATAATTACTCAAATTCCTGTGGGCCCCTGGTGCAGATGAGATGAAGAGGTAGGAGTAATGTTTCAATAAATAATGACAAAGTGGAAGAAGCAGAAGTAACGCAGGTAAGATAGTCTTCAGAAATGAGAGCTGAAAATGAGTTGACAGCAGTAACAAGTATACGTCTCTTCTTGCCAGGTGCATTGAACTTATAGAGAGTTGGGAGTCATGGTGCTCCATTAGAGCTGCCACAATCTGTAATATATTGCTCATATAGTTAGTGTCTGTTTTTCTCACCAGGCTCAGGTGCATGAGGATAATCACAATGAGAACTAGTTTTCCATTTTCTATTTTAGCCTCATGACAGTGTCAGTGTTGGTACTTAGTAGTCTGTTTTTGTTTGAGACAGGGTCTCACCATGTTGCCCAAGCTGGCCCAGAATTCCCAAGCTTCCTGCCTCAGCCGCCCCAGAGCTGGGATTATAAGGCATGTGTCATCATGCCTGCTATAGTAGTCTTTAATAAGTGCTGAATGAATGAGAGAGGGAGAGAGAGAAGGTACAGTGTTTGCAGAGTCAATTTCTTAGAGATTGAATAAGACATGTCAAAATCTACCATGTCACACAGTGTTTGGATTATTGGAGTAAGTAGAGATAGGAGGTGGAAAAATTGAGATTATACTTTTAGAATAATTACTCAAATTCCTGTTGGGCCCACTGTGGGCAGGATGAGATGAAGAGGTAGGAGTAATGTTTCAAGATAAATTAATGACAAAGTGGAAGAAGCAGAAGTAACGCAGGTAAGATAGTCTTCAGAAATGAGAGCTAGAAAATGAGTTGACAGCAGTAACAAGTATAGTCTCTTCTTGCCAGGTGCATTGGAACTTTATAGAGAGTTGGGAGTCATGGGAAGTGGCTTGCAACCATGTTTCCGTTAGGTCCTGATGGTATGAAAGTTACTTATAGAAGTAAGGGGAAGAAAGTATAGGAGGACTTGTTCATAGTAAAACACAGGTACCATAAGACACAATAAAACAGGACTTAGAACAGGAAAGACCAGGAGAAATCTGAACTATTTACAGTAGACTAGTAACTACATTGTAAGTGCTTAATAAGTATTGATTGGTTACTAGACTTATTCAGTATAAATTCATCACTATTTCATACTCTACAAAATGATGAGTAATTCTAATAGCAAACAAGGACTTTTTGTTATATAGTTCCCATGATTTGCAGTAGTTACATACAAATATATTTAGATTATTTTCAGTTTTTTGAGCAAAAATTTTCCTTTTGTTTTTTAATGTAAGTGGTATAAATTCTGCACAACATTCAAAGACACTTCCCAGAAATAAGTTTCTGAAAAATGGTACTTTGCCTAGTATTTTTAAAAGCGACTAATCGTGCTTTAAATAGCCTTTACTTAAGATGGTTTACAAAAAAAAAAATTATGCTCATGAAATAACTGACTTAAATGTATGTATACCTCATAGAATCTGAGGGTTTGATTTGGAGGGGGGGTTGTTTTGTTTTTATTTTTTTTTTAGGCAGCCTTGGATACTGTTCTTTGTTAGAGTATTTTAGTTTCTCTTGTGACCAGTGTCACCACCTGGGTTTGTAAGGTAGCTAGAGTTAAGAATGCTATCTTCAGTTGTGAAAAAAGAGTTGTCTGTTTGTTCTCTGGGCAAAACTAAATGATTCCTGTGGGAGTCGAATGAGAGACACCGGCCTGATTCATGGTGTCCTTTATAACTTAGGACTTTGGCACAGATCACCTGTTGTGTTTTGTTGTTCTGTGTCCACTTAAAACCAAGAATTGAAGTGCTCTCTAAAATCCTTATGAGTAATCATACATTAAAACATACCTCATCTCTTTTCAATCAAAAATTTTAAAGTTGTCTGCTGAGTCATCACAGTATATATTTTAATAGATGTACTGAGATTATGGTTCCCTGGCTATTAGGAACAAAATTATTTCCTGAATGACAGGTGTTTTGAAAATACCACTATCATGGTAATTAAATATGTTATGACTTCAGTAGTTATTGTTGATAATCCTGACTCAGTGCCTTCTAGGCTAACTCTTGGTATTATGAAAAGCAGTTCTGATGGGAGAGAATGTACTTACTCGCTGCACAGTTTTTCATGTGTGAACAGTTACTATCAGGATGGAAAGAAAAGAGAAACTCTACTTTTATCTGTAACTTTTCTCACCACTTGAATTCCTTTTGATCTTCTTGGTACCCATGAATAATCTCATTTTGTTTAAGCATTGACATTTCAAATGATTGCATTTTAGTATTTTTTCAGAAAAATTCTTTGCTCTTACCAAAACACACACATACTGAAAAAGATTACTCGGCATTTATGTAGGATACCCCTGATTTGTCTTTCGAATGAGTCAAAGCTGACATAATTGTGTAAGAGTAAATGTGTGAAAGAGTCAGGTAATTTTAAAATTGGTCATCAGTCCCTCGTGGTCAGGAATACAGTCAGAGTATGAGTTTGATTCAGTATTTCCCCTATTGCCAGAGGTAAAAATCTACCTATCTTCTTGCTGTCTTTTACTCTTAGTAGAAATGTATTATCTTTTTTCTTGCCTAAATGAGAATGTGGAGGAGGAAGAGATTTAGGTGTAAACGTCGTACAAATGCTTACCCCAAACTATCAAAAGCTAGTTGTTAATTTTGTTTTAGACGTGGATGAGCCAGCACGCTAACCTTGAGCTTTCTTCACAGTGGGTAAACCTCACAAGTGCAACTACTGTGGACGAAGCTACAAGCAGCGCAGTTCACTGGAGGAGCACAAGGAACGCTGCCACAACTATCTCCAGAATGTCAGCATGGAGGCTGCTGGGCAGGTCATGAGTCACCATGGTGCGTAGAAAGAGCATTTGTGATTCTCATTCCCTCCTGTTCTGCTTTTGTTGTCTTTATAAAGATAAAATCTTACTCTGTTTCAAACAATTTTAGACCATAGTACTTTGTATGGGATTATCTTCTCAAGCACTTGAAATGAGCTAAGTTTTGGGATATGGTGCAAACAAGCTATACTGAGTTGTGATACTCCCCAATTATATCTGATAACGTACTTGAATTAACATAATAATGGCCACTGGCTTAAATATGCCAAAGGAAAATATTCTAATTAAATGATACAGATGGTTCCACATAGGTTTGTAGATTTCCTAAAAGAAGGAGTTGATTCTTTGCGTTATTTCTTCTCTGTTAGGTACATGATCAGTGATGTAATTGAAAACTTTTCCAATCTATTTTGATTTCTTTGAGAAATTAGTAATTTTGTATTCTACATGTGCAAGAGATAATGTAGACCAAAATTAGACACCATCTCCCTCCATAAATAAACATTTTCTGAACAAAACATCCTGATCTTTACAATATTCTATGACAGATAGGAAGGTAGTTGCTAATGTTTATCAATTAGTAATTCTCAATTCCTGAAAAGTTAATTAAATCAACTTTACAAACGATAGCAATGAATTTTAGTTCTTTAAATGTGTAGTGTTTTGCTTTAGTCACTTTCAACATTTTATTCATTTATTGATTTCGACATAGCTCAATGATCATTTATGGGTTTTTGGTTGTTTTTAATATACTAGGGAGCTGTGCATATTAAATAGTTAATGATTATTGTTGTTGAGTTGCGATTTCTTTTAATTTTAAGTATTCACTGTTATCCTAAATAATTTAAGCATTTTCTTGTATGAGAATAGGTTCTATAACCTAAAAAATCTGATTTAATTCCACTGATTGTTTGATTAAGTCATTTATTTTCATATTATAACCAGTATTAACTAATATTTTTATAAATCTCTCTATTTCAAATCAATAAATTTGATATTGCAAGCTTGTATTACCTGGATGTAAGAGGACAGCATAGGACCCAGAGACTAGAAGTTATAAATCAGTGGGCCTTGGATTTCAGTAAACTTGGTCTGGCTACATGGTGTCTGAGTGAGTCGCTCATAGGCTTGGTTTGAGAATTAAATGTGATTTGGTGTATAACAAAGAGCCACCAGATTGTTCATTTGCTGTTAGATTTCAGGCCATTAATACTAAGAAGCAACAAATGTGCCATTCCCAGTAAAATTGTCATTTTCCAGTATTAACTTAAGCATTAGAGGATTCGTTCACCTACTTAGAACACCATTTTGTTGGGGTGAAGAGTAGCTGGCGGCATGGAGTTGATGGAGGCTCGGGAATATGCTGCAGCTTTCTGGAGACATTTATGGCCTCACCACCAGCCTTTCCATATAATGTTTTCCCAATTGCAGTTCTGGCATTTGATTGAAACACATTTGAAAATTAATTTATTTTTACTTTCATTTTTTATGGAGCTACACACTGATAGATACCTGAATAAGAAGTAGTATCTCTCCTTAGTGGCTTTCTATTTTCATAGGAAAGTAAGGAATATATAAATAATCATAATCAACATTGTCTCTTGGCACACTGACCTTCTTAGAATGACTGTCATAATTTGGGGAGAGAAAACAACACGTGGTCCAAGTAACTGGGGCTTCAGTATTGCCCTGTTTCCTAGATTTCTTCATTCTTACCAAGCACGGGTAGTGTTGAAGGTGGTGCAGATTGGGGATGAATATGAAGGAGACAGGTGCTCTTGGTTGAGCAAGGGTTAAAGCCAAGAAGATGGGGGTAGGTTTTGGTATTATGCACAGACTTGTATATTTATTCTTTAACTACAGCAGCCACAGGAATAATGCCATTTCATACTGTATTTTTCTATGTTTGTTGTAATAATAATTTGAGATCAACAACCCTTTCCTTTTATTAACATGCTTAATAGAGAATTACTGTATGAGGTAGGAGTTGATAAATGCTACTGGAGCTCATCGTTAATCTTTTCTCATACACTTGGTTGGCATGTGTCTCCTTTTAAACAGAGTCACAATGAAATTCCCATTTATCTCTTTTCCTCTCTTCCCAACCTACTGTATCTTATCTGTTTTCTTCCCTTCCCTTTTAGTGGTAGGAGTTAGGGTTGACATCAAAGTGGTTGTCATTAACTCTATGAATGTTTTTCATGTCTGACAGTTATTTTCCCTAGCTTCCCATTTCTAAAACATGTTCATCCCATATTGGCTTTTCTAGGAAGTAAGTGTCTGATGAAAAGGAAGCATTTTTTTACTTCATTCAGGAAATATTTGTCAAGGGTTTGTTCTTTGCCTAGTTTTATGGAACACTTTTGTGTTTTTTGAGACAGGGCCTCACTGTGTATCTCAAGCTGGCCTCTAACTCTCTACGTAGCTAGTTTGCCTTGAACCCTCAGTCCCCTTGCCTCAGCCTCCCAAGTGCCAAGATTACAAATGTGAGGTACCATACCCAGCTTCCAAGGAACATTCTGGGGATATAAGGATAGATGGATGCAGTTTCTTTCATATACTTATATCCTAATAGGAAATACACTCATTTTAAAAAATAATAAAATGAAATGAAGCAAAAATTGTAGTAAAGATGTGTCTACAGTTCTCCAAGAGACTTCTCCATTAGAAGCAATGGAAAACTTAAAACTTAAATGTAGCAGTGTGTGATCAGACCATGAAGGAGAAGTAAAAATGGCGTATATCTACAGACACTGTATATTCCATGAAGAGAAGAGGTATGGAGATACAAAGGATCATTAACAGATTCCTTAACATTGTACATGATTTGAGTTAAAGGAGTAATAGGAAATGAGACTGACGTAGTAAGTAGTAATGCCAAAGCAGAGCCTTTTATGGTAATTTGGTGATTGAATTTTATGGAGCCACTAGGTAATCAAATTTGTGTCTTCTAAAGAAAAATGTGACCAGTGGAGAATACAGGATTGAAATCTTCCTGGCACAGGGGGTGGTGTGGGAAGAGACTAGAAGCAATAGTGCAAAATAAAAGATGAAAGGACAATGACAGGACAAGGGAACAAAGTGGAACACTGGAGGTGTATATTGGAGGTAGAAACAAAATTCTTATAAATGCTTATAGGGCTTGAGGGAAAGGAAGGAATTTTATGACTTTTAGTTTGGGGGAAAGATAACAATAAATTGGTTTTTATAGTGGATTATCTTATTTGAATGTTATCTTTATGCTCATTTTTCAAGTCTGTTCAGTTTTGAGAACAAGTACACACACAGAATCTAAAACACTGGGTACCTCCATGTGTATTTGTGGTAGGGAGAGGCAGGTAACTGGATGGAAGGACAAAAATCTAGGATTTGCCACAAGTATCTAACATGGATGATAAAGTAGTTTTTAGTGTCATTCATTGGGATTGGAATTAGGAAAACAGGGCTTGAACTCAGGC